TCTTCTCTTCTCTTCTCTTCGATTCCTACTTCCTACTTCCTACTTCTTACTTTCTCCTACATGTCTTGTATCTATATCTATATCTATATCTATATCTATATCCGTATCCGTATCGCCAGCCAGAAAGTACAATACAGCATGCATGCAAATCGCCGCTAAGAAATATTGATAGATCATAATTATATAGTATTTATTATATATTCCCTTGTAATTTATATGTATATGTGTATGTGTATGGGTAGTTTATAAGTAGTTTATAAGTCGTTTACTAATCTACTCGTATATACTTAAGTCCATAGGGCACGGCACATACGTGCCATTTTGTTATTTATATTCCAGATTATATTCTAGATTTTATTCCAGATTCCAGATTTGTATACTGTGACGTTCTGACGTTCTGACATTCTGACGTTCTGACCATAGCAGTACAAGTAAGTACCTATAGTACCGGTACTTATATTTAGTTATATTTAGGTATATTTCTGTTATAGCATGATATGGCACTAAGAATAGCACTAAGAATGGCACTAGAATTTTTTTTAAAAGTAACAATAAATCCAGGGAAAAGAGCCTTTAGCTTTACTCAAGTACTCGAGTAATGTAAGATTACTAGTACTGAGTATGCCCGGAAACTAAATTAAACTAAAGGGAAACTACTCGAGTAAAGCGAAAGTGTTCGCTTAGCAAATGAGTCATCTTGTACTCCTTTTCTACTGCTTGAGTACTTACTTTATCTATATTTCTAGTTGTATATATTTGTATTTGTATTTGTTTTATATTTATAATCGTTGTCGCTTTATATATTTTCATTTAGATTTTCTTTTCTTTTCTTATTTATTATTTTTATTTTTATCTTTAATCTATCTACTAGAGTGCGAGTATATAAAGATCTAGTCCTTTTCTCCAAATGTATCGTATCGTATTATAAATCAAACCATACCCATCACCCATTACCCATTACAGTATCAATAATAGTAATAATTTATAAATCACTGCACTCAGGCTCGGAAACTCAAAAGGATAGCTCCACAGGAGATATAATTCTAATAATTGTGTACTTCTATACTTGGCCTTGCCTGCCGGAGACTCCTTTGTCATTTATTTCAATACAATTTCCGCAAAGTGTCTCCCTCCCTATCAGCCCAGAGATCTTTCTGGTTGCTATATAATATTTTTGCTGTGCATCTCAATATTTTTCAATAACAATCACCAACTATATCATATTCTATTTGTTTTGTCCTTCCTGCATTTTCTTAGTGACATCGCATCTAGTGTAATTCCTCTTAACCGATTAATCATCAACGCTTGCCACCGTTTACTCAACTTCATGGATATCCTACTCAACTTAAATAGTATTTTTCCGTGAGACTTACAAAAACACAACCATTATTAATACTCTAGTTTTAATCCTGGCAAGAAAAAAGTACAGACTGTACAGACACCTTAATCTGTAGGTCAGTCATGGCTTAAGTAGAACGCGGAAGGTGCTACTGTAGCTTACCATTAAACAGGAACAGGAAGTAGCGATTGAGAGATCTGAGATAAGATTCATAGATACATATTATGATTATCTTGGGCAGCTTCAAATTTTGTTCATTGAAAGCTCGATTCATTATTCATCACACTGCTTACTTGCGTCTTTCTTGAATCTTGTATGCCATTTTGTATATGTTTTTGAACACCCACCTTTTTTGGACCTTCTCTTATGTTTTCCTCGTACGTCTTCCGCATGCATCGCTGGCCTTCCTTTTACAAGACTCTCGCACATTTCCTTCCTAAGTTTCTAGCCTTTCTCGCCGTATCTTATAATTCTTATTCCGCTCCTTGTCTTCGACACAATGTGTGTATGGAATTATCGATCTCTCCTTATATATTTCTTTAATACCTCTTCAACATCCTTTTGTCTAATTATCTTCCGCATCTGCAGCACGCCTCTCATACTCTCCGTCTCCGCACATGAATATCCAAATCCGTCGAAGACTCGAATACCACTCAAATGTTTTCCTCACACACCTTCGAATACCCCCTCTCATATATGTCCTCATCCTCAGCATAAGAAATCAAACAGCTCGTCTCGCATTTTTATCGACCTTGTCGTATTTCCAAGTCGCATGTAGACTGTGGGTAGATCTCGGGGATCAGAATGTTGCACAACAGAAGTCTAAAGATGAATATTTATCTCAAAGCACATTCATGGTGCTGGTGGGCGGCTTTCTTGAAGAGTACAATACTGCATGGTGAACGAGACTATTTATCCTTGATTTTTATCAACCCCATCGTTGCATTTCTGGCGTACAGAATAATCGACATACTACGGCTTATATGCTTATCAACTTCATCGCACAACCATGATGCCAAACACAAAGAATGTTCTGTCCTCTATTCCATTAACCTCGTCGCATATCTATAACGTTGATAGGTTTAAAAGACTAAGATAAATTCCATGATATATTGCCAACTATTCATCATATATCCAGCATAAGACTCTCGTTGCCATAATAATGATACCTATAGTGACAAAACAACAATTAAACACAACCAATCCAAACAATTCAAACAATCCCATTGCTTGTGAATGACACCTTCAAATTTACAAGAATTCCTTCTGTTCTTACACGTCTGGCTTCATGAATCATTGCTTTCTTTCTTGCATCTAATTCTATTCATTCATCTAAACCCAAACTATGTAAACTTCATGTTCAACTACATGTTCATCTTCACCCTCCCTCTCTATACTTCTTACGCGCTGTTCGTCATACACCAATACCTTCATAATCGCATACTGTAGACAAAGGGGTAGATCTTCACATCAGCATCATATCAATATCCCGTCAAAATCACATCAACAGAGATGCACAGCTACAAAATTAGACGTAACATCAAGCAATACCATCACAATAGCCAACTCATATCCGTGCATTCAACATAGCCATCACACATTATTCCCCGTGAAATTGCCCTTACCCTCTACCTCGCTTTGCCTATAGTACTACGCACGTCGTCGCATTTTAGAATAGACTAATACACAGTGTGGTAATTTATGATACGTATATTCAAAATTCATAATTGCATGTCACATAAGCAGCATCATATTATAAGTTCAAGTCCAAGTCCAAGTTCAAGTCCAAGCTCGATCTACAGACTACAGTACTCATCGTCTTTGTTGTGAGATTAACTTACAGTACAGTAGCACGCACTTGAGATTTGTGACAAGTTGATAATGAGACCAGATATTCCTTGGGATTTGCATCCGGATAAGGATGAGGATACTACCCATCTTCCCTCACATTCCCTCGTCTTCTAGACTAGATGGAGATTCTCCGAGTCTGTCCTTTGCATAGATAGGTATTAGATATTAGATTCTGAAGGCCGTCTATCTACCTGTCAGTTCTCAAGATGTGGTCTGTTAAAAAAGACGGTTTTGCTTCTCGGGATCTTCTCCTAAATACATATTCAACAAACACCTTGTAGTTTTCTATAAAAAAAAACATCACACTGAATACAGCAATCTCCTAGCTCGACCCTGTAGGTTTCCATCCTTTGCTAAATTTGAAAATTGGCCAAGGCAAAAAAGTAGATAGATGTAACTGTAAAAGGCGTAATAATCTCCAATTTTCTATCGACTTTCATACGCATTCCCGAGTATATTGCTCAACGACGCAATTCAAATGTAGTCATGTAGTCATGTATTGATAATCTTGTTGTTAGGTGATGCAATTAGACAAGAGGAGAAGTTTAAGTTCAAGTTGAAATATAGATGTCGAAATATATATCTCCCAGCAGACATCTAAGCCAATTTTCAAATTACAATTCAACAGAAAGAACAGTCATGTTTCTAGAGGTTTCCGATCATATAGATAGGTAAGATATACGTCACTCTATATGTTCCTGCCACAACTCTCGTATTGCTATACTTTACTGTACTTCACTTTACTATACCCGATGCTTTCCGAATGACGACTTAGTGTATGACTCATGAGTCAACAGAGGCAACTCGCTTCGATATGACTTGAACCTTAATTCCAAAGCGAATGTGTCAATACTCGGTAAGAGAACCAATGATATCAAGTACCACCTACCATGGTATTATAAAGGGAGAGGTATTGAATTATACAACTTGTACTCGTATTGAAACAGACAATTTTCTGCTACAGTACATACACAATTGACAATCGATGGCGACCGGTTAAACTGAAAACCTCGATAGACTTTGCCCTTCTTCTGGATAATTCTGGTGTGGATTTGTTCAGCTTGTGGCTCTGAGTACCTGCGTCACCCCCCCCTAAAAGATTCTGGAATCGTAATACAGGTCACCGTTCACAGTCCGCCGATCACGAAATTTTTTCCATTCATATCATATTCGAAATCCCAAACAGATTGTTGTGAATTTTCATAAGATAGCAACAATGTCCGACTCTCTTCCTTCTCTCAGTTCTCTCGGTCTTTTGGGTATGTGTTTTGATTTGATATTCCTATCTTATACGGTTCTATCTACTTACTGATTCATTCGATTAGACATCCGTCCCGCCCCCACTTCTCTCCCTGCCATCCGTTCGCTTGGTCTTCCCGGTCTGTGTTTAGATCTCATCCTCCTATTTGGGTCACTGTCCTGTGTACTGATTTGTTTCATTAGGCATTCCTTCCTCCCCTACTTCCCCCACTTCTCTCCCTTCCCTCCAATCTCTCGGTCTTTCAGGTCAGTGTTTATCCCATGTTCCATTTAGCATACTATTCAATTGACTAATCCAATTCATTAGGCCTCCCTCCCTCCCCTATTTCCCCTACTTCCTCCACTCACCTCCCATCCCTCAAATATATCGGGCTTACAGGTTAGTCAGTATCTAGAACCCCTCTTCCCATCTTCCGATCTTCCCATTCAACACACCAGTGGTCATCGTACAATCCCCTGTACACAGTACTAACCCTAACCCATAACATAGAGCTCAGCTTGATACTCCAAGCACAGTATGAAATAAAATAAAATATATTTGTACATAATGTAATTGGGAATGGCCTTCACGGGGTGCCTCCACGGATATCTAGCGGAGTTCAGGAATATAAAAATCATCTGTTATAAATCGTATACCGGTACTCGAGTAGTTGGATGATTGTTGTGATCTATGCTTCGCCTGAGCTGGGCATATGAGACTGAATTTATGAGCTCATGTAATGTCACTAATAATGTCTTATAGTTGAGGATCTAAGAGCTTTACTTGGGATACAGTTCAATCTATCGACTTCTTCTATGACTGTATTAGTCGTTTTCCCTGTCGCCCCTGTCATCCCCGTCGTTCCTGTCATCCCTGTCGTATCGTCCCTGCCATCCCTATCATCACAATCGTTCCTGCCACCCTCTTCACTTCAGTAGCAACAAGTTACAAGTCCCCCAGTTTCGTAGACAACAACCCCCAAGGAAACAACCGCAAAAGAGCGATTTAGCAAGAACCCTCCAACCTCATATCCAACATCTCATCTCACCCATCCCAATCCAATCAACCAAAAGCTAATTTCATTTTTCAACAATCAAAACTATTTGGTTTGGCAGCACCCCCAACCAAATGCAAAGATCCCCTCCACAACTAGTGACTACCATACCATGTGCAGGGCGAGTACGAAGTGACCGCGGAGCTATGTAGCCGTTTGATACCAGAGCCAGAGCCAGAGCCAGTGCCAGTGCCAGTGCCAGTGCCAGTGCCAGTGTTCTAAACCAAGAAAGAATCACTTGCTGGATTCTTTCTTTCTTTCTTGTCTCTTTCTTTTTTATCTATTACCTAGTTGATTATCGCGAGAATACAGCTTAACCTCCATCCATATCCATATCCATATCCATGGCTTAACCGACACAGACACAGACACAGACAAAGACACAGTCTAGACTCAGGAAATTCGGCTCCATACTGGGAAGCCATTGATAAAAAAAAAAAAAAAAAACAGAACTTGAGAGAAGGAATCGGAGAAGCGTAATGCGGAGTATGGAAAGTCATTGATTGTACGAAATTACGAATCTATTCGTAGGATGATGATTTATGGCAATGGATGGAGGACTACTCGAGTATAAAAGATTTTCTCCGATCTTCCATCTTCTCACTGCTGAATGGGGTAAAGAAGAGGATCTGGCGCCGTTGAAAAGATGATGATTCTGGGAATTCTGTCGTGCTAATGGCGAAGCGAAAGGGACGCTCTTAATGGAGACGAAGCGCCTACCGAGAGATGTAAGGTCACTGGGAAGATCCACTGAGCCAAGGTGGTCAGGTTTGAGGAAGAGTTTACGTGGAGGAATTTGTAGACATATCGGTTCTCATTTTCTTTCCTTTTGCTAATAGTCGACTCTCCATGGAACAGCCGCCTGGTTCTCAATCGGAGAAAGCGATTGTCCCTCGTAAGCGATTATCGAATAGTGTACCTACATCTGTTGAAAGGGTTGTTGAATTATAAAATCTGGATCTATTTGCAGAACTTTTTGTTTTCTAATAATATTGAAGGGGATAATCGCTTGCAAAGGATGATGGCTTTCTCTGACTAGGACCAGGCGACTGTTCCATGGAGAGCCGACTATTAGTTGCTTTTTTCTTTCCAAATTGGAAGTCTTATATAGAAAGCGTATCTTCTCCTCAATGAAAGTCACTACAATAAGAACGTGTTCATTGAACTGTATGTGAAGTGAGAAAATGTATTTCAAAATTTGTGATTTATGAACTGCAATATTCTTATTGAGTAAACTGCCTACTTAGTGATGTTCTCATCGATACCTCTCCTTCCATACTACCTTAAAAATAAGGTCCCTTTGCGCCGCCCAGATTCGATAATACGTACACATGTGAATGGAAAAGTAAGTCTTGATACATCCCATCATCCAATCCATCTTTCATACAATTCATGCAATCATGCCCGGGTGATTTATGCGCTTGATTCTGTGTCTTGGGGTCTCTTGTATTGGAGGACGTCGAGTTTTTCTGTTTGATGGGTTAGCGTGTGCATTTATGAGGAATAATGGTGATGGGAAGGGATGTATATACGTTGAACGGCGCTCATAGCAGTTCTGTTCTTTCCATCAGCATCTTGGAAGACGTTCATTTGTGCCTCGGCCTCGACATATACCAAGGTTCTAAACGTATATCAGCATAAATACTTTTGAATTTTCCACCTCTAGCTTTTCAATTTCTATATCTGCCCAACTCATGTAGGAGATGAATCCATTCCTAAAAGTCCCTCCCTTCTCCCCTCTAACAATTCACTTCCCAAATTTTAAGAAAAGAAAAAAAAACCTACCCCTTCTCCAGACCCGAGATGAACTCTCTCTGTGGACTGTCTGGCATAAAGCTCACTACTCGAAACCAACTTGTCTTCTGAGCTTCTCCTCTACCAACGCTTGTACCAATCGCATATTTCATGATCTCTTGTCCTTGACTGGTAGCAGTTATTTCAGGCTTATCAGCGAGACGACCGACGAGTGTGAGCTTGGCGAAGGTATTGATGCGGGCGCTGGAGGAGAAGTTGCGCGAGAGAGTAGGAATACTGCGGCGGAGAGCGAACATCTTTACGATTATGGAGGGGCGAAAAAGTTAATTAATTGTTCGTGCGGGGAATTTGGAAATGGTAGTGAGCGTGAGTCGTTATTGAGGAAAACTTTTAGTCGCGGTTTGGTGTTTTCAAAAATTGGAGGATATAAATTTGATGTGGCATAAAAGAATCCATGCCTGAGGTATACATATAATCTTTCGAGGACATTTTTACAGGGGCGATGGATGGGGATTTTACCAATTGAGATTGAAAATCTACACATTGGAGAAGAGAAGACTTCATCACTTCATCACTTGTTATTTGCTTACTAGATATTCCTACTTTTTGAAGACTGAAGAACTGAAGAACACAACATTGAATAAATAAAGCAAAATTAATATCATTGGGAATGATGCCGTCTTCTCTACGGTACGCAATTGAACGCAATCGAACGCACACAACTGTTTATTGACAATTGAACGAGGGAGGTATCTTCTTACCTTAATGCATCCCGCAAGAAAAAGAAATCTTGGTATCTTAAAGGTCGCCGATTAATTCCAACTTTTTTGGCTTTCATTGCGATATCTTACTTCCGTTATGGTCACCAATACCCTCGAACACGAAAGGTTCAAGATCATGCCAGCAGATTCCCAAATAATCATATCGTCTTCTCATCACGGATACGAGCGTCAGATGTACATCTCTTCATCCAAGAGAATTTCAGTTCAACCACCATTTTCATGCCTTACATGCTGGTCTCAGCTACCACAGACTACCAATCCAAGAGACCGGTGTACGCGGCGGTCAATTCGAGAATTCTTGAATACAAAACCTGTCTACCCGAGACTGTGTTACTTATGATGTTCTGTACTTGTCACCATCATCTTGGTTGGGAGTCTTTCTAGACGGTCGTTCCTGTGACACTACTAATGATGCACTCCAGCTTTTTAATCTGCAGAAATTGAAATCGTGGTATGGATTGCATGCTTCATCAGAATCACTTCGCATGAGATACACCTCAATACAGCCTCCTACATCATGAAACATGAAACACAAAAAGATGGTTGACAATCGTTGATTCTTTCTATGGAAGTTGGATTCCTTGAGAATTACTAACGGTTACATCGACGCGTTGAAGTAGTTACGGTATTGATAACGAACGGAGACTTTTTTTTTCATATATGATAGGTCGGATGAACACCGGGAAATCACCATTGTGCGAGCGGGATAAGGATGCAAATCACGAATTGGACCGAAAATGAAGGGGGATTTAAAAATCTTCTGTACCTGAAGCTATTCCTCATGAAGAACAGATTCCTTGAAAATATCGAAACAGCTACCGAAATTACTACCTACCTATCTTCAGCCTAACCTTACCATCCGTTCAAGTTTTCTTTGTACTTTCGAAACCATCCCCGGCATACATACGAGGTACGGTATCAAATTCTAATGCTGGTCAAGCAATATAGACCATCAAGCAATACATACCGTTTATGCAATGCACAGCTCATATTATCTTTCCAACCCCGATAACTTGTTTTCGAATTTTGGGGGGCATCAATTATCTGGGCTATTACGATCAAACAAGAAAAGCAAGAATTCGAGACCAGAGAATAGATTCGGCGAAATCTTTCTTTTGGGAAACTTGATGAAAATATTGAACTAATCAGCCACAGCATGGTTAATGCTAACTCAGATCTTCCCCACAGCTCCCTTTTTGCTATCAATCTAATCTCGCTACGATGAGCCTAATGCTCTTTTTGAACCTCTTTCAGATCACAAAGTTCTTTGATTCAAGTTGATTGGCTTCACTAATCATCTAATAGACAGATCAGATATACTTCACGAATTAAAGATTATGATTTTGGACCGAGTTCCAAGCTTTTTCTCCGGAGCACCGAGTACCGTTTCTCGAACAGACCATTCCATTCATTTCCCCTCCATAAGATTCGGACGTGGCTTTGACATTCAGAAAATATCACCTCACAACAACTCTTGTGGCACTGCATCGCATTGCTTGTAATCCCTACACCCCCAATTATCTCTTTTTCATGCACTGTGTGAGGATTAGTAACATTTTCGTTTTGCAGACGCCTTCCTGTAAGTGCAGGGTGATGCTAAGGCGGGGATTTTGATTATGTCAAGTTACAGGAAAAAGTATCCGTCAATGGGTCTGCTTTAACCAACACCCAAGAAGAGTCTACCTTGCAGTAGATCTATGTGGTCCGCGGTCCGCTGTGAAATCATCCATCGCAGGCACACCGGTTCTTGAAAAACACTTGAGAACCATGCACAAACCCACCCAGTCTGCACCAAGGCGATTCCCCATCGGATAGCGTAATCTCTCATAAACGCCTCCGCGCCTACATTTAGTATCGAGATCAAAGTTAAGTACCTTTACCTTCCTCTTTTGTATCGGACTTTATATGATTCCATATAATATACCTCTTCACAGCTCATTTATACCCGGACAAGCCATCGGAGTATTACCTCACCACCCGTTATCCTCAATCATAACATTCGTTACACGTTTTCTGCTTGTACTGTGATCATTATTCTCTTTCATTGTTTCAATATTGATGTGTTTATTTCGAAAACACCCATGTAATTTCTAAGACAGTATACACCATACATCTACACATTGAGAGCATCTTCAGTGATAGTCTCTTGTCTCACTAGGACTGCTCTCCTCAACTTTATGTCCCGGTGCTAGGAATCTGGTACCAATTCTGAGGATCCACACAATGCATATCAAGGGCTTCTTTTTGCTGCTGTTGGGTGTTCATATCCAATCGGTATTTGCTGCACCATGGGAGGCTCGAATTAAGGAACGCGACGACTCCATAGCTTTGTCTTCGACGACCACTTCTACGTCACCGTCGATCTCAAGTGGCGCAAAAGATCCTGAAGGCAGCAATGAGAGCTTCACAGCAACTTCAACCACCGCATACTCGCAACGGACTTCTTCGTCAATGACTACATTATCTTCGAGTACTGCAATGTTGACCTCTACTGCTTCAGCACCCTCAATAAGCGGAGCAGCTACAAGTGTATTTGTCACAGGTCCAACCTTCAATTGTATGCAATACCCACCCTTTTCGGGTTCAACAACATGCTGACAGTATAGCAGCTACAATAACACCCGGTCAATTACCTCTCCAACCCAAGATCACACCAGGTTTTGCTATTGTAGGAGTTATCCTCATCGCTACTGGCGCATTGTATACTTTCATTGGAATAAAGAACAAATGGCTACACATCTCTCTTTCGACAGGATACCTTGTCAGTGTTGCCATCACCGTACTCATCCTATACGTGATGAACTTGCCTGTTAGCAATTCGGTGCAGGGTGCATATGTCGTTGCAATTGTACTACCTGGATTCATTATTGGAGGATGCTCATTAATCTTCGCAGAGATGGCCGAGGGTCTTGGATGCCTTCTGGGTGGGTTTTGCTTCAGCATGTGGCTGCTTGTGATGAAGGCCGGCGGACTACTCACCTCAACAAGTGGAATATCAGTATTGATTGCATTAATCAGTATTGCTGCTTTCTCATTGTCTTTCAGTCATTATACCAGGACATACGGATTGATTGTGTGTATCTCATTCGCTGGTTCCACGGCTATCGTTTTGGGTATCGATTGTTTTAGTAGAGCTGGCCTAAAAGAATTCTGGGCATACATCTGGAACTTGAATTCAAACCTGTTTCCTCTGGGCGCGACTACATACCCTGTAACAAAAGGGATTCGTGTCGAGATTGCTGCAATTTTTATTATATTCTTAGCTGGTATAGTGTCTCAATCGAAGCTGCACAAGATGATCCTAGATCGCCGTGCGCAGAGAATGGCGGAGCGGCAGGAAAACAAAAGAGTTTTGGAAGAGGAGGAAATGAATGTAGCAAAATCCATTGAGGATCAAAACGTCGCAGAAAAAGAACGATGGGAGCGAATATACGGCGAAAAGGTTGGATCAGGAGATGAATCAACAAGAGATTCTGCACTAGGTGACATGGAAAGTTCAAAAAGGGGACCTGCTAGCACTGTGACTTCCATCGGGGAACTTGATGGAACAGAAATTGAGATGTCCGACATTTCTTCGCCCACAAGACCGAATGGAGCAGGACTTGTTACGCCTAACGAGAACGGACAGGATGGAGCAATCACAGTTCGTGTTGCTCAAGATATTGAGCCCAAAGTTGAACAAAACGAGGATGAAAATTCTGTACCATCGCATCAACTCAGTCAAGGATCCGATAAACCTCAAGCAACAACAAGCCTGGCAGAAGATGGAGTTTGGGTCATTGGCGCTGACGGAGAAGCTCACCACGCAAGTCGACCTTCCCGGCAACTTTCGAACAGGATTTCTACTCGAGCAATAACAGCCACGCCGGAAGTAGTGCCTCTTCCATTCCAAGTTCCAGAAAACGAACTAGAAGATAATCGCTCTTCGATTGCTACTTTACCGGATGAAGAACTAGCAGCAGGCAATAGAGGATCAAGACGCATATCCAGTGGTGGGTCAGCATTAATTGAAAGGCTCTATGTTCGATCTAAAAGAGGATCTCAAAGATATTCACAAGATCAAGGTATTAGCACGGAGGATTTGGTGATCCCTTATGCCAATGAGGACGACCGTGCAAGTTCTGTTGCCGCAACTGTGGATGATCTCAGTGAGGATGAAGATATGGAGAGGGGAAGTTTACGATCATCATTTACTGATCAAGACTCACCCATGCCGGATGCAGAATTTCTTGCGGAAAGTCAACAAATCGAGCAAGATCTAGTATTGCCAAGTCAGACGACAGCTGAACCACGAGACAATTTATCTGGACAAACTGTTTCTTCGTTGCCGATGGACCTCACCTCCGAAGGTGCTCACAACAAGCTTGCTAGCGCAGTGTCTGGTATGAGACAGAGTTCCGAGCTTCGGCCAGAATCGGGATTTACTGTTGCTACTGACATTCTTGACCCCCCAAGAAGCGAAATGTTACCAAAGGAGCCAATGCAACGAGGGCACTCTTCAACGCCAAGTGGGAATGATGCAGCCAACACAATCCAATTTGCGGATGGAGAAAATGTTGAAGATGACGAGAATAGAACTGAATCCAAATTCATGGCAGAGCCATCCGTCAAATCTACACCTGACATTAAAACTACGACAATCACGAAAGACCGATTACCTTCGCAGGTTTCGAGAGTTGTCATATCATACCGTACCAACGAGTGGGCGAAACATTTGGGCCATGCAGACTCTCCGCAAATGGAAGAACTGAACATTTCCGATGACATCACCGAAGACTCCAAAGCAGAATCGGCTGCTCCCGTGGATGTTGAAGCACTTCAACAAACAGCTCACAGTGCTCTCCCCTCGCCTGCACCACGATCATCTGCCCATCAATCAAACCAACCCTCAGGTCTGACCAGATCAAGTTCAACTCAATCGAATATCACCCCTTTCAAGACGATACCCGAGAATTCTTCCGTTCATGGACATGATGTACTGACACGAAACTCCTCACAGCAATCGCCGAGAGGACTCGCAATGCACCGGTCATTACGCAGCACTTCAAATCACAACATTCCAGAGCCAATCGTCGAATTACCAGGGAGGGAAACTACATCTTCGCAAAGACAATCTTTCCAGTCGAATTCTTCTCCATTTGGAAATTCCAATACTCTAATGGGAAAACGTGACACAATGCTACGCAACAGGTCATCTTACTTCCCCACTACAAATTCTTCCCCACGTTCCATGGCTCCAACTCCCGAGCCAACTCAATCTCCCCTTCCACATTTTCAATCCGCCTCACCTTCTCAAATGGGTAGCGAAACGGGTTCCATTCATGGTTCACTACGAAATCATCACACAAGCCCATCATCACCCATCATGGTCTCAGCCAGCGATGACATGCCCCTCTCCCAGCGGCGCGAACTCATCCGCCAATCCACGCAAGCGTTCATCCAACCCACCACAGCCTTCAACTCTCACCAGCCCCGTCGACAATCCGGAGCTCCGAATCCAATGGTTAGAGAACAACAGTTGGCGACGTGGAGAAAGAGCGTAGCGCATGATTTGCAAGCGCAAAGACAGAGGGAGATGGAGGGGGTGGAGAGACAGAGGAGTGTTTTGTGGAGGGAACGGAAGGGGGAGGAGCAGAGGAGGATGGTGGAGGAGAGGAGGAGAGGGGAGAGGGAAGTTAGGAGGGATGAGATGATGAGGATGGTGGGGGGTGGGATGGAGGGGGCTCATAGGAGGTTGTTGGGGAGGATGCAGGATGAGGCGAGGAAGGTGATTTGATTTGAGTTTTGAGTTTTGAGTTTTGAGTTTTGAGAGAGGGTAGGGAGGGCGAGATGAGTGAGATGGGAAGGGTAATTCTTTAATGTTTAACTTCTGGATGGATGTATCGGTGGATGGATGGGTAAAGGTCTAGTGAGGCATTTGCCAGACAGGACCTGGAAAGTTTCTTGTACATATATATTTTCGATTTGGTGAAGGATAGGTAGGGATGGGTATTGGGAAAAAATTCCCACTGGCAAACCAGCTAGGACAACCAGTAGGACAACAGAACAGGACAGGACAGGACAGGACAGGACATGTATTATCAGATATGCAAGGGATGGATATGGATATCAATGCATATGATACCCACGAACAAGAACAACATTGAGAGGGGGATTGGTTTGGTTTGGTTTAATTTCCGAAAGATTTGGATTCGTCAGTTGATTGGGAGGATGGAAGGAAGGAATTCCTCATGTATGGATGGGTATTTATTTACTCGTAGGTAGGTAGTACTTGAGTATACTACTCGTAATAGCTAGGATAGGAGATATTACAGTACATACTTGTATACGAGTATTAATAAATACAGTTGAGTATTAAATATAGTTGAGTAATACTTGGGTGATGATTTGATATGATGGATGGAAGGATTGGTTTTTATTTTATGCTGTGTATATGCTGTGTATATATATGGCTATGTTATGGTATAGTATTGTATATTGTATATTGTGTTTCGAATCGAATCGTGAATACTCGAGTAGGAATTATTGATTTTGATTGCGGCCTGATTGAGGGAGTGATTTACGAGTACTAGTATTGAGTTTATTGTTATTGTTTTGTTTGCCAGCTCTTGGGGTTGGTTGAGATGAGAGAGAGAGAGATATCGATTGGAAATTGAGTTAATATTGCTATTTTTTTTAATCTTATATCTCGACTCTTGCTTGTATTAATATCTTTTATTCTTCTTGTCACAGGTTCACTACCCATACCTACACCTATCACATGTCCACTACCTATTCTTAATTAACTCGAATGGATGCCTTAGACATCCACCTATCATATAGTTGGTGTTGCTCTATATACCTCCTTTTTTTATCGAATATTATATATTTTACCTAGTATCCACCAGAATCTGTATCAGCCCTATGATAGTATATTCGATCCTTCAAAAGGCTCTGTTATCGATAATAGCCTGGCTTTGATTATATCTACTTGTATACAACGATTTTAATTTGATAATTTTAATCCCAACTTCGACTTGAATTATTATAATGATTAATACAACAAATTCATCAGCCACATCCAATGGTATTAACTTTAGTATACCTGATATCAATACCAATATATCTACTCCTAAAACCATAATATATAAAACCTTGATTGTATATATTTATCAAATATTCCAAAACCAATCCTATATTATTAGATATATTTATTTCCAGTATTCTTCTCCAAGATCCAATCCTACTAATCAATCTACTTAATATAGAAAATACTGATTCCACTATTTGATAC